GTTGCGGAATAAATATGAGCAAAGACAGTCTCAAAACCATGCAGTATATAATGGATTTTGATGCTCCAAATCCCAAAGTAAAATATATAGTGAGGTTTATGGGGAGTTGAAGCATAAATGTCCTTAATGTGTTAACCGCTAGACTCTGCTTAAACATATCGGATAAAATGGACGAAGAAAATAAATCAGGTCTAATAAATAAAATAAATCTTTTGAGTACACAACTTAATATTCATAAAGAGTAAGTTAACTTTAAAAAACCTTCTACTTTCCCATCCAAAGCTGAGATGAATTTGTCAAAACATCTGAAAAACCACCAGCTAAATTTGATAAGAACAAATACAAAAATTAAGCTAAAAAAACTAAAACTAAAATTCTACTCCATCTTTAAAAATGAAACAAATCACTCTGAATGCATCAATCATATCCGGAATCCTGAACACAGGCGTGTAGCTTCCAAATTTAGGATAGGAAATCATAATTTAAAAATAGAAACTGGAAGATTTACAATCCCCAAAACTCCTGAAGACCTTAGAATCTGTGATCATTGCATCCAAAATTCGGTTGAAAATGAACTGCACATATTACTTCACTGTGATCAATACAATGATTTGAGAAAGACTCTTTTTATTAAAATCAACGACCGAAAGACATTATTTACAAATTACAATATCCATGATAAGGTCTGTTTTCTTTTTAATACTGATTCACATATCAGCAGGCTAGCTGCAAATTTCATCTTCCAAGCATTTGAAAGATGAAAGAAACATAGTTCATTCTACCGTTCCATCATATCTGCATTTCCTTAAACTTAGCTGCTTATTATTGTTATTTTAATCGGTAACACCTGTACAAAATGTTAATACTGAATAAACTTGTTGTTGTTGTGTTAAAGAAGCTGAGGAAGACGTGATGGTCTTTTATACACAAGGCTCGTTAGCTATTAACTTCACTCTAAAATTGAATATTCATTTTCTTCTACTCGTATTTGTGTAGCCATTTCGAGTTCTCTTCGCCATAAACAAGTAGCAGGCGCACCCAACGATGGTTTCCTCCTAAATCATGCATTGAAAACACTTTTTAGGCTTTCAAGAGTACTTTTAGATCTCAAGAAATGCATTCTAAGAAGCGCTATAGAATTTGTATCTGTTCGGTCATCCTAGGGGAACTTGAGTCGTTTCGAAATTACAAGGGCTTTTGAATCCGAAAATTTTAGGTGTCCTTTTTTCTTGGGAAGTGAAACGTGAAAATTAAACTTGAGAAAATCGTAGGGAATTTACTACCTAGACAAGCTTCGAAAATTATCCATGAATGGGTTCATGTATGGAACAGTCATCTAGAAATTTTTAGCCGTCTTCAAGTCATAGAAAATTCTGGGTAATCTTTGCTTCTTCGAAGAGATATTTCACAGAAAACAGTCGTTGGGTGCCCCTGAAGTAGGAAAAAGTAATAATAATAAACTCCATGTAAACTTCACAAGAGAAATTCCTTATTTCTCGAAACTAAGCTCCATGTTTTTTAACCGCGGTTTTGTAACTGATGTACTTGTGTTCTGATGCTTTCCTTTTATACCAGACGATAAATCAGCAGGATCTGATTACATGCTATAAATAATGCATTTGATTAGAACTGAAGGGAAAGTCCCTATCCGTGTAGTATTTTGTTGTTAATATCATAGGTGACGAATTACTCCTGAGTTTTGGATAAATGTCGCGGGTCGTGGGTAGTGGGTAGAGGTCGTGGGTCGTGGGTGTGGGTGTGGGTAAATGTCGTGGGTAAAAAAAGTATGGAAAAAAAATGATAAAATAATAATACTAATAAATAGAAAAAATTGTAAAATATTTATAAAACGAAAATCTCCAACTCCTTGATTGCCCTTTCCGCCACGGCTTCTTCTTCGTCCTCTTCCCGATATTTCCTTAGACACGTGGGACTTGGCTCCCCTCTCACACCATCACTGTATAGAAAACCATATATGTTGCCGATGGAAATTTATACTTACCTTAGCTATCACCGCAAAATAAACGAAACAGACGTAAGTTATACGTACAATTTGCAGAAAGTATGGGATCAACAGCTCTGGCTAGCTGAATGGAAGTGGCTGCTCACTATTAATCTATTCCAATGATCGGCGGAGATTTCTTAACACGATGGAATGTGATCACCGTGGGAAAGGGCAGGGGAAAAGGACAATTTTGAGGTTTTTTCATATTTTTGCATAGAAGTCTTTCTTAAGGTGACTCGACCCAGTTTTTTTGAGGGGGTACCATCCTACTTTGAAGCTCTCTGGTATCCCCACGTTTACTTTTATCGTAAGTCTAACACATAGAATGGATAACATATAGATCAATCTACAATATAACATAACATTTTTGGCGATCGGAGTAAATGTCACGTGGTTATAATGCCACGCCCCTTTGAGGTCTGAGTCGAAAATCTGCTGTTGCAGGCATTTTTTCGTGAAAATCTCTCGGCTACACATAGTGCGCATTAGTGCCTT